AAACGAATCATTCACACTCTGGTCAGTTCTTTGTGGTACCATTAAATGCACAAGGGATTTTCAAAATGAGCAATAAGGCAGACATGAGCAGGTGCACAACATGACTCATTCTGTAGAATATAATGTCCTAACTGGATTGTAGACTAGTCAAGTAGTCTAATGATGATAAATTCTGACAATGGAAATACAGATCTATGGTATAGCAATGTATGGCTTTAACTGTGTTTGGGATGTTCACACTGCAAGGGTTACATGCAGAAATAAAGTTGTATAGAGACAGACATGACTTTAAAACAAATGTTTTAGTAGAACAGAGTAACTAAACAGAATAATAGGTTGTATAGAGACAGACATGACTTTAAATGTTTTAAAATGTTTTGGCAGAACAGAGTAACTAAACAGAACAATAACATAATAAAACTATGAGAATTGCAAAGGTTTTAATTTCAGTATCAAATTTGTAAATTAAAACTTTAAGCCCAATTCACTGCACAAAGCAACCACTCCTGCAAACTACATAGTGACAAAGCCAAAACAGGCTAGCAAGGCAGGTAAGAAAACAGCAAATGTTGAGGTTCATGCTGCTGAGAACCCACATTTCTCAATATAGTTGTGTAGTAGCCAACAGGAGGTTATGGCATAGCATGCTAATAAAATGTAAACCTAGCAAATTCTTTAAACATACTGAATATTTACTTCAATAATTAAATCTGTATTGAAATATCAAGAATGCATAAATATATTATAGAAGCAAAGTCTGCAGAACACACATGTATATCCCAAGCGAGGATCTCAGCGTCTAGATTTCTGTAATGATCTTTCAGTACTATGGAAGCACGTATTAATCAAATGACTGTTTCAAGACTGCAATCCTCACCTTTAGTAAGTATAACAAGAGATATCCCTGGGTAGCTGAGGTGCTCATCATATAGTTCACAAAACTTTCTCGGACAGGAGAGCAGGTTTTAAACTTCTGACTGCTGTCAGTAATGGACAGCTCTTCAATAAAAAGAGAAAGGAAAGAGGAAAATGTCCTCACAATCACACCAAGAGTGCTCAACATTGTGGTACACCAGGTCACACTAGTTCCACCTCAGAACTAGCCTGGCCAAATCTAACCGGTTCTGAATGTTCCCAAACCTCGGAACCACTTGGTTCACATATTCAGATTGTTTAGGTGCTCCCATGTTCAAGGTATAATTGATTCCTAACTCTGTCCAGCATAACAGAGTTCACTACATGAAAATATTCTTAATATTAATTTGGAAATAATTAACCAAAACTCAAAAATAGTAGACAACACAAAGAGAAGATTAGCTTTTTGCAATTTGTTGTCTTGGATACCAAGAATAATACATCACAGCTCTTTAAATAACAGTAAGGATAATTTTCTAAAGTTTAGGCTCAGTACATTGACACGTTGTCCCATTACACAGCTATCTGGATGTAAAGGCAATTCTGTGGCAAAAGACACCGAGTCTGAGAGCGGCCACGCCAGCACCCTCCCTGTGCGACAGGCAGGAGCATTCGTACGCAGTTTCTCACCTTTGATACATTAGGTGGAAGTTTTAATTACAAAATCATAGAATAATTTCAGTTGGGAGACATCTCAGTAGATCATCTGATCTCGCCCAGCTTCCTGATCTGCAGTTTTTTTAATCTTTCAAAATTGCTCTGCTACAATAGGAACTTTCTGTTATTTAGAATTAAGACTCCCTGGAAGTTCAAATCTTACTTATTCCCCTAAATAAAAGATTCCTTTTCCAGATGCATACCCGCTCAATTAGTGCAAAATGTGCCTGCAGTAACTTCAAGATCTCTGCATTTTGGATGGAGGGAAATAAAATAAATAGAAGAACTATTTATGACATTTGGAGGTAAGGCAAATAGATAAGACCAGTCTCATGCTGACAAGAATTCTTTTTCCTCAGAAACTTTCAGCTATGACTGGCACACTGCCTATATAAAAGTTGAAATCTACTTCTTAAGCAATGTTTGCTGAAAATTGTTCAAAAGAAAGAATATTTGCAGAAAAATATCCATTTTATCTCTCATCATAAAGATTTTTTTGGTTAACAGCTAACACCTAATCTATTTGCAGGTTTCTGCTCTGGATTTTTCCTCTGATACAATAGCAATTCCTTTTAGAACTTTTTCATATCAAGCATGTTCAATTAACTGATATGCATTTATGAATAACTAAAGTGAAGGCTCGAAGTGAAATACTAGATAGTAATTTACCCAGCAGCTCCACAACCTACTCATAAAATGATTCATTTACACACACAAATTTAGGATGACAACAAATTTATGATGAGTCCATACTGGCACTTCCTTGCAGATAGTGAAAAAGTAGCTATTACCCCAGTCTCCCAATGAGAAAGGAAGATACCATGTCAAGGAAACAGATCCCTTTATAACAGACTATGGGACTAAGCTGCTGAACAGAACACATGTAGAAATAAGATCAACTCATCTCTGTTATATCCTTATTCCATGAGTGTTCAGCATCCCAAGGCTGTCACAGGTGGAGACACTAAGCAAGAACCTTCCCATGGACCTGATTCAAGAGCATGGAAGTCTAGAACACTTGTCCCAGAAAGGGAACAGGGAGATGACACACCAAGAAAGAAATATTTCCTTTGTTGTATGGTATGGAATATATATACTTTTGATGGATACTGAACTACCACTAAAGTGATGAATTCTAAAGTGATAGAGAGTGTTATAACACTCAGCTAACCTACACTTAATCTGTTGCAACAGAAACTGTAGCCAGAAGAAAAAAAAAGGAATAAACAGTTAATTCCTCTGAAGTTTTCTGCTTGGCATTAAACATCCTTTCATTCATTTTGGGCTTCTAACCATATCCTGCTAATCGTTAGTTGTTTTTAAACATCCTTCTGAAAATTGCTTTACAATCTGGCATGCAACACTACATAAAACAGTTGTACAATATTGACACTAACATTGTATTTTGCATTTTGCTATGGTTGACAAAACAAAACACAAGCCTTTTTGACTTTAATATAAAAATAGATCAGGTCTACAACATGTCAAAGACCTAGTTAACTAGTAAGTTTCAGCAAAATTTTTTTGTAAGAAAATGCACTAACCAACATTACAACAGACATCAATTTAGTAAGTAAAATGAAACAGCATTTCTGCAGTATAAATGATTATTTGCTGGAATTTACGGGTTTGATGTTGCTCAAACTTTGTCTCTTAAAATATACTACCAATGTTTATCAACTTTTTAAAACATAAATACTACCACAGCACTTAATAGACAGTACACATTTTGAGATTATTATATTCAAACTAGAAAAGAAAGCTATTGTACTGATTTATGTCAGAAATAAAGTTGAGATTTTTCACTGCTAACTCAAAACATACTACCTGAGGGATTCCATAACAGTTCATAAAATGTCTTTGTTTTTAAAAGGCATGGTCTGTGGTATATATTTTCTCCTAAGAAATAGAAGAACACATGTAGCATCACATGTGTGCACTTTAAGAAACTCTGGAATGTGAAATCTAAAAATCCAAATAAAGCAGGTGGTATAATTTGGGGGGGGGGGGGAAATGAATTTAAGTTTAATGACATTACCAGGTTATTCTACCAGACTAATTCTCACTCACTGCATGACTTCAATGGAGCTCTCGGTCCTCATGCTGATTTCGATTTAGTTCAAGTGCTATTTGATGCATTTCATCTGGAGTTTTATTCACTTCAAACTACACTTCATTTAACCAGACTGCTGCTGTACTCATTTGTTTTTCTACTTTATTACCCGCAAATTGGTGTTGCTTAGTTTAGATAAATTGTTGGAATAAATTAACTTATATTTTCACCCCGCTAATAAACAAACTCTAGGAATATACAGTATGATAGAAAAAGAGTGACCACTAATGTTCTTTTAAGATGAATTAGAGCACAGTAAGTATTTGTATTGCAGAATATGCTAGTAAATGCTAATAGATTTGCCATTTTAAGGCAGCACCATTTTATTCCCCTAGAACTACTGCTCATTTTTATTTCTCTGTATTATTAGTCTACCATACTCAATTTTTCAGCTGGACAGTACATCATAATACAATGCATTAAAAAAGAGAGGGCAAAAGTAAGGGAGCGAGAGAGACAGAAAAAGACTACTGGTAACAAGGATCAAAAGGAATAACTTCATGTAAAATACCTGAGAATGTGAGAAGAGATTGCCAAACCTACCAGACTATTTGCTGATTATATGTTATCCAGAAAACATTTATTATATTTTAGCAAAAGGCCATGATAGAACCATAATTCATTTGAAATGGTTATTATTTTTGTGAACTACTGATGGAAAATATGAGAAAGTCAATTAAGCTGCTACCACCTGGTGGTGTGCTGATTATGCTAAAAAAAAAATCTTTTACGATTAATATGGTATCATAACTTCAACGGGAAAAATACATATTCTCTATGTACTACTACCAAGCATCGTGTTCCTTTTTTGTACATGCATAATCCATGACACATCCAAAACTAATCTCTTTTTCAGTCTAAGCATACAGCACAACACATGAAGAGGAAATGTTTAACGCATTAACCTGTTTGTTTGTTATCTTATTATAAATATGAGTCTTCATGAGGATTAGGCATCATTTCAAGCTTTTTTATTTGGATGAACTTGAAAGAAAATTAAGTTCAACGTGTTAATCTCAGTATAAAATTTTAGCTCAAAGAAGCATGGAAATTGGTTCTCAGGAATTCAACAAGTGTGCACATCATCTCTTCTCTCAACCCCAAATCTGTCAAATCTGTCTAAAATGCTGATACCTACACCCTCGCAAAGAGGGTTTTTAAAGGTAATAGACTTAGGAGTAAAATATAGGATATAAGGAAAAAAAAAACCTTAAGGACAGATAGAGTGCTTAGTACTTTCTAAACCACTCTTTACAAAAGCATAAGTATCCATTGTGTATTTTACTTAAATACGCTTCACATGCTTAACACTCACCAATATTTGGGAAACTTGATCACTTTGCCATAAACAGCAGTACTAAAAGAGGGAATAACTGGAGCAGGGAAGAAATATAATCCTCTGTTGTCCAAAGAGGTCAGTCCTGCTTGAAAACCGAACATCTGAAAAAATACAGTTGGTCAAAGTGTACACTAGCACATGATACAATCACTTCAAGTTATTTTTCAAATATAATATACAAATTAACTATTTTAAAATATATTCAATAAATACAAAATATGCATTATTTTTAGAGAATGCAAAAAATGCATTACTTTTACAGATTTTTTTCCCAAACCTATATATAACTAGAAAATCCTGCCAGTAACAAAATGGTGTTCAAATAAGAATATATATAGTATATATTTTCTTCACTCAAATTATTAAAAAAAATCAAATTGTAATCATTCCATTAAGTAGCTTTTCTATCCTCTTTAATCTTTACTTCTTTAAATCTTTAGCTGCAAAAAAATACATATTTTCTATGAAAGGCAATGTGTTACTTCCATTTTTGGGGAAATTACAATATTTAAAGAGATTTCCTTTGAAGCTTTCTCCTAAATAAAATGAGAAAATCTAAAGAAAAGTTCATCAAAATTTTTCTCTACAATTTTTTTCATAGTTTATTCTTTTTAACATTCTCCCACATAAAAACACAACACCTGCCTATATTATAGCTAGCAAATAAAATACCTGACCCTATAAATGTCTTTTTTTTTATTTAAAATGCTGATAGGCCTAATCTCTTTTAATCTTTCAGAATAAAAAAAAAAACTTCAAAATTACTAAAAAAGACAAAAAGACAACAAAACAAAACAGTTGACTTGTGACATTGCTATCCCAAACACCTTAAATGTGAGAGAGGTGAACACATTATCCCTAAAACTTGCCATGTAATTCTAGACCAATGCTTGTGTTTTATGCAGCTGATAGGAATTTCATTGCTTAGATTTTTGTTATGATAGGAGGATACTACAAAATGGAGAACTAGAAAGTTTACTTTTTTTACTACTGAAATCTTAGCAAATAGCAATTGAACAGTCTCAAAATGATTTTTCAATAGCATCTTAAGCTCTCTACAAACTAGCAACAGAAATTCCTTTCCTAATAGACTTTAAATTGAGATAATTCAAAGGTTTTTCCTCCCAAAATGAAAATACTTGAAAGGGTTTGGTAAAAGTCTTTGATTGTGTACTTCATAGTGATGGATTTGCTTTATCGATACCATTAAAATTAATGTTTTTTCCTCACAAAATCCTACCAAGTTTCTAAGCATAACTCATTGCAATCCATGTATTCCATAATGTATGCCATGTATATGACATGGTACCATATGTCCATTCCATATGTATTCCATAATGTAAAAGAATTGGAAAGATTTCCTTCCAAATTATTTCAACTCAGTTTGGCGTGAAGACATTGAAGCTCCAGTGTGTTTTATTTCCTCATGTGAGGGTCTCTGTTCACATTAGAAATCATATGGCTCAGGTAAGAAGTACTGACACAAAATCATATTTATTCTATGAAATGTATTTAACTATGTCCTTTAACCTAACTTGAAAATGCTCACAAAAAGACTTAGAGTAAAAACATGTACTGCAGTGAAAGATAGGTTTCGGTTTCTTATTTTCAAAATCATATTTATTCTATGAAATGTATATAACTATATGCTTTAAGCTAACTTGAAAATGCCCACAAAAAAACTTAAGAGTAAAAACATGTACTGCAGTGAAAAATAGGTTTCTTCTTTTCTTTTCTTTTTTCTTTTACCTTTAGATAGCAGTGTGAATAGCAGTAATGAAGCAGGTTATCAGATGGCTGGCTAAGGCTGCTGACCATCTGCACGAGTTGCTCCGCATACATTGGCACAGAGTGCTCCAGGTTAATCTTATCCACCAATATTCTGATGGAAGGTAGGGGCCGCACAGGCTGGAAGCTTGTAGCATTTAACGGTCCGCTTGAATTCTAGGTAAGAGGTAAAAAATGGAAAAAAAAAGAAAAAGGAAAACACATATGCCATTAATACGCTACAAATCTATTATCTGCCACATACACACAAAAGCAAATCTTGTAATGATGTACAAACAGATTACAATGGCCATATATTCCAAATAACCCTCAAACTCTTTGAAAATAATCTGTGTGTATATTCTGGATGCCACCCTGTGCCATGTGCTCTAGGTGTCCCCGCTGGAGCAGGGGGGTTGAACTAGGTGATCTCTGGGGGTCCCTTCCAACCTTACCCAGTCTGTGATTCTGTGATTCTGTATATATTTTTGAAAATAAAATACTTCTTTATAAAACCTTCATCTAGAATATGCAAATTGAAATGTTTCATTATTTACTTAGCATACAACCACTGCTGCAGGACAGGCTGAGGTTCAGGGGGTAACTGTTACGCCTGGAGAAGGCCAAGAGATCCTACTGCTCAAGTACAGGGAGAGGCTGGCCAGAGCAGCCGTGGAGATGCTCAGCACTTGGCTGGACATTGTCCTGAGCAACCTGCTCAAACCGGGCTCACTTTGGGCAGGCAGTTGGACTAGATGTTCTCCAGAGACTCCTTGCTATCAAAATTACTCTATGATTCTAAAATTTTCATTAAACATACACAAAAATAATAAAAAAGAATGATGCCTGTACTACAGTAACTCTGAAAGTTAAAGTTACTAGTATTTTTAATATGCTTGGCTTTACTTAAGATGTTCCGTGTTTAATGAATGTTGTAGAACCACAGAATAACCAAGGTTGGAAGGGGTCTCTGGAGAACATCTAGCCCAACCTCCTACTCAATGCAAGACCAATTCAAAGTGTGATATTTCAGGTGAAAAATTAATACTAAAAAGGTCATTTAAATTTTATGTTCATTATTATAAATTAAATGTTCATTATGGACAACCAGTAAGAACTGTTCTCAGACACCATGATGTATTGGTCAAAATAGCTTTTACTAAAGAGAACATAAGAAGGAGGAAGGGGATAACAAATATAATCTTACATCCCTTCAGATGATAGAAACCTCCAGCTGTGCAGCACTGGACAAATCTCTTGTCAGGGCATAGCACACTGCACAGATCCCACCTGTGCTGATGCTCATCCGATGCTGCACAACTGCAGCAGGGTTTCCAGCATCCGAAGGGATTCTAGAATGTAAGATTATGTATGCTCTTCCCTTTTCCTTCTCAGGT